ATATGGCCGCATCCTAGAGCAGTTCGTGTCATCGACCCAACGGAATAATATGACCGTCCGACGGATCGTGCTGCGGATCCCGTCGGGCTCGGCATTTGCACCACTCATTGCAAAATTTGGGCTTTCGGTGCCTTACATTGTCACATGCGCTGCCGAAGTACTTGCGATGTCGGATATCGCGGGCATCAATCCAATTCAACGGCTCAGTAATGTGGCGACCCTAAACGTCGGGCTCGCATTAGGAATCTGCTCCAGTTCAGGCCGATGATCCACATTCCATCGCACTTTGTTCGGCGGAGGTGTGCTCCAACGGCTATTTGTTCCCGCTGCAGGGGATGTAAATTCCATTCCATTCCATTCAAACTTCCCCCATTAATTGGCCCCGAATGATTGAACTTGATTTGAACTTAGAAGTTCAATGTTGAGTGGTGAACCACCCCGTGCAAATTTACTCCACGCCATGACACTGCGGGGAACTCACGGCACGGACACGTATTAGGTCGGATGCCGTTGACCGAAACAGGATCGGCTACCCATCGGCCGAACGGACCTTCTGCCCATATATGGCAGTTGATAAGATGGATAACGCATGATAACGCGTGACTCACACAAGAAAAAAACATAAAAAGCCGACAGGCTCTTTCTTCTTCCCTCCATCTCCGATTCCCGCTAATCGCTACCCCTTCCTGTCCATGGCGTCTACCGTCCTGCAGGTCAACGGTAATGCTCACCCCATTGCCCCACTGGATGTTCGTCTCAGGTCCCTTTCGGCTGTCCTCGTTCTAGGCTGAATTCTGGGTTCTAGGCGTCTCTGCTGAAGATAGAGTTTGCGAAGACTCTCAAGCCCGTTCCGACGCCGGGGAGCTACACTTTCGGAGACGCAAGTCTTTCCACCGGAGAGCAGGCACAAATCTGACCGTAAGAATGTGCAGATCAAGACTGATCATATGCTCGTTATGACCTACGAGCCGCTGACTGGATGGTCTGCGCCTGAAATCAAGCCATACGCGCCGCTATCTTTGGATCCGGCAAGGTTTGTCGCACCCAAATACCTCCATTTCACCGCTAATACTGTCGACAGCAACTGCTTCCAGTATGCCACCAATGTTTTTGAGGGGATGAAGGTGAGCAAGATATATTATGTCTCGCTTTCCCAGTTCAATTGTTTGTTCAGGCGTTCATGGACCCTGAGGGGAAAGCTCGCATGTTCCGCCCAGATCAAAATATGGCCCGCCTCGTATCCTCCGCCGCTCGCATGGCACTTCCTGTGAGTCCCAGAATAAGATTCGCGAGTTATGCGTTAACTCTGCCAGCCCTTCGACGCCGATGCACTCCTCGTGTGCATCAACAAACTTGTCGCCGTCGAGTCGCGTTGGATCCCTTCGCTGCCGGGCCACAGCCTCTACATCCGCCCCACAATGATCGGCACAAAACCATGTACGCGGACAGTATGACAGTACCCCCCCCATTTCATCACTAACTCCGACTTTCAGCAATAAAAGTCGGCGCGTCCGACCACGCGATGCTGTACACGATCGTCACCCCTGTCGGCCCGTACTTCCCTACCACCACCGGCGGCGTTTCGCTCCTCGCCGTCGGTGAGCACGTCCGCTCGTGGCCCGGCGGCACCGGTGGCTACAAGTTCGGCCTCAACTACTCCCCCGGCTTCGTCCCCCAGCGCGCCGCCGCCGCGCTCGGCTACGACCAGATCCTCTGGCTCCTCGGCAAGGAGAAGCAGGTCACTGAGGCGGGCGCGATGAACTTTTTCGCCGTCGTCGATCGCACGGACGGAGGTGAGAACCCTCTTCCATTTAGCGAACTCCATTGATAACACAAACGCAGGCGTGGACGTGGTGACACCGCCGCTCGACGGGACGATCCTCCCGGGCATCACGCGCGACTCGGCGCTCATCCTCCTGCGCGCGCACGCCGCGGACCCCGCGCGCGGGCTGCTCGCACTCCCGGCGGACGTCCCCGTGCACATCGAGGAGCGCGTGCTCACCGTCAGCGAGCTCGCCGCGTGGGCCGCCGCGGGGCGCCTGCACGAGTGCTTTGGCGCGGGCACAGCCGTGCTCGTTGTCGCCATCGAGCGCATCGGCGATGTGCGCGGGGACGCGGTCGTGGACATCGAGATGAACGCGGGGCGCAGTCTGGGCAAGGTCGGGCGCGCGCTGTGGGATAAGCTGCTGGCGCTCAAGGAGGGGCGGGACGAGTATGAGGGGTGGAGCGTTCTTTGCGAGTAGGCAAGGATCATGTCCAGAAAGATGCGTATTGTAGAAGCATGATGGATTTCAGTTTGAGAAGTATCTAAATTCATCAAGAGCGTTTGAATTCAACGGACGTACAACTACAACTATACGTCGGAGCACCTAGCGCATACTGCCGTTGAGAATCGCATCTCGATGTTTGGGGTGTGTGAACTGTCCAGCCGGGAGGTAGTACCACGGCAGCTGGATGTGTACTCCAAGGACCGGCGTATCGTCGCGAATACGCGGCGTCACCCAGTCCATCCATGCCTTGAACAACCCCTCATGGCGTGCGCTCCGCAGGAGAGCCCTATGGCACTCCTCAAGATCGACCTCGTACTCCTGCTCCAGCTGCGCAACGTACTCGCCCACCGTCACGGTGTAAAGATCGCTCACGAGGATCGACATTGCCAGCAGCTTCTCCATGAGCGCGGTGCTAGCCAGCTCGCGGCGCTCCATTGCCTCCGTCCGCATCTGCAGGAATAGCTCACCCCCCTTCCCTTGAATCTGGTGCGCGACATATTTCCCGTTCTTGCGCCGTCGGAACCCGTAGTGCGCGGAGGCGTTCGTCGCGAGGAAGTCTACCTGGGCCTGCAGGGCTGTCGTCGGCGCCTTGTAAGTTGTTGTACAGTCTGAGTTCGTCGTGGTTTAGTGGACTGCTGACGGCCAAGAGCGATTCGTCCAATGGGTCTACATGTGTCTTAAGCTTCCCGCCCGACCGTTTATGGGGTGGACAATTCGGCGGCTTGCCTCCTTTGTAATCGGTGGTTTGGCATGCCCTGTGCGTGCGTGAGTATCTCAGAAGAAGCCAACGGGATCCGCGTACTTGGAACAGTAGGGGATCCGAACGCCGCCGTTGCTCTTGCACCGAGTGCAACACATAAGGGTTATTGCCGGGCTCTGCGCCGCCAAGTCTTTCGCTGGATGGCCTGCGCGTAAGTTTCGCTACCGACAAAGTAAGGGGTGACATGGACCTGTTTTGCCGCAAGTCCTGCAGCTGTCTGGTACACCTCGGTCTTCTTGCGTCGCTTCGACAGCACTAGGGATCGTCACCGTACCCGTCCAGGACGGTTGGACGGACGGACGGACGGATAACCGTCCCGTCCCGTCCCTGAGCTACTGGTCTCCCCAGCGTGCCGTACCGTCGCCGGACGGCAGTGAAGACGGCCGTCCCGTCCACCGGAAGACGGAAGGACGGACGGATGATTACGGTCATGATTTCTGGTCATAATTAATCGGCTGGTGGCTCAGGGTTAGTGAATCCCCAGAGAAAACTCCGTGCAAATCGTGAAAATTGTTGCAGAAATTGTTGCAAATCCATTTGTTTCCCGCTTTCTCCTCATTTTGGACGTCAAAACACGCTGGTCATCAACGTACATCATGTTTCGTAAGTCAGAATTCTGAAATTAGAACTTCTCAAATTAACACAAGTAGGATGAGCTCTAGGATAATGACTCGTTGTGGACGCGTACGTTGCCACAAAAGAAAAAAAAAGAAAAGCCTTCGCACTATGACTGTCATGTCTGACGGGGACTGGGATGCCATCAAGCTCGTCTTGGAATGGCTTGTTCTACCCCAAGGAGCCATGGTGAAGACGTTAACTACTAAGAAGCCGATGCTCTCTCAAACACACGCCATCTTTCGCACCCTTCAATCAGCCGTCAAGTCAAGTACTGGTCAAGTATCTGTAATCTTTCTATCCCAATCAATTCCACCCTGGCGCAGCTCACTGGCCCAGAGAAAGTTGCGAAAAGGGCTCTATTTACGATTCTACTAATTTTTATTATTTCCTTTCCATTCCTCGCACTTGTTTCAGACTTACTTACAATTAAACTCTGATAGTTCCTTTGTATACATGTTTTACTGAGTTCCGTCCAACCGTCCACCGTCGGACGGCCGTCCCGTCCACCGTCCCGTCCCGTCAAGCCTCGTGAGAGAGCCTCCGCTACCGTACCGTCGACGGACGGTCAACTGGACGGCCGTCTTTGGCACCGTCCGTCGGCCGGGACGGACGGTGACGATCCCTAGACAGCACGCTGGCCTGTAACACGATGAACGAAGGTAGTTGTATGCTTGACCTGTGGCATGATGAGTGCCGACCGCAAGGAGGTCGCTGGAATGAGACAATTTAAGCACGATCGAGTTACTTACCCAGGGGTTGCAGTATTTGCAAATTCTCGCTCCAGTTGTCATTGAGCTCGGGGAAAGCTGAGGTCAAGCTTTAGACAACGGTCACCTCCTTGAAAGTCTACATACAAACCGGGTGCGTGGCACGATTCACGGAATATCGCCCTCGGCTAACAGAGGCCCAACCTCGAGGGTTGGGAAATCAGAATGATGTTGTGTTGGGATGAATAGTATTATTGCGGCTGCTGCGTTGCCTGCTGAGCTAAAACTGGATCGGGGATAAAAAATCCCCGAGGTCGCTCATTCCTGAGACATGAGTAGTGGAGCTGCGGGATCGACCAAGCCTGGAGTCGAACCAAGACTTCCTGCGGGCTTCAATGGTGTAATCTAGCCATTGAGCGTGGGATGCGGTATCGTCACCTTATTCTCGGCACAAAAGGATAAAAATCCCCGGATGTTCTTGCTGCGGTATATTGAGATAAAATATTCCTGGAGACGCCATGAGTCAGCGGTTACATTCCATACAAAGCGCCGGTAGACGCGAGGGTAAGGTGGATCCAATTTTCCACGTCGTGCGTGCGGATCCGCGCCTCAAGGGTAAAAGGAGATTACACGCCTCAGTGACTATGACCCAGCCTGGGGTCGAACCAGGACTTCCCGCCGGCATAACACGCGGGGCGCTTACCTTCCGCCACTGGGTCTCATCTGTAGAGTGTTGACCCCGAATTCGTTCGTACTTGTTTGCTCCAGACGGCCGCTCCATCGTGATCACAAGCTAGATAACAGCTTTGACTGTCGACATCGAATGAACCCAACTGCGACTCCAGGCTTTGGCACAAGTGCAAGAGAATATGAAACATTCTACGGATACAACAGGCAGGCGCGAAATAAGGAGGCATAATGATACGGATAAAAGGGTGCATTTAAAAGAAGACTATTGTAGACACGCAGCCTCGCAGAGGGCGGCGACGTATGTAAAGGTGGGCGGGAAGGCGAACTATCGATACAGGCGCACGAGCGGTGCTCCAGTGCGATATAGTGAATCCGGTTAATGAACGTGGGGTCGCGAACGACGGCATACGGGGGTGGGGCTAGCTTTCGAGGGAGGTATCCAGTGTTCCAGGGCGGAGTGCCATGTTCTGAGGGTGGTGTGAGCAACGGGCGGGAAAAGCGAGGGGAGAATTGCACGCACCAGATTAGAAACAGGTGTACATTTTGCAGCCGCGGGCTTCTGCCTCTGGTTCTGGTTCTGGCGCGCGGGCGACTTCGGACATGCCGACGAAGGCCGCGTGTTCCTGATGAAGTGCATTAGGATTGGGCGGACGGCAGAAATGAAGGGAGGGTGCGCACGATTTCGCGGTCGAGGAGGTGCAGGCCCTTGCTCAAATCGGGCACGGGCACGGGTGCGGCGGAGGCAGCGAGAGTCACTGCAGAAAAAAAGATCGTTTAGCTGATGCACAGAGCAAGGGAAAGGGGAGACGACGCACTGAACGAAAGGACGAAGGCGGCGAAGATTTTGCACTGCATGACGATATATACAAGAGTCCGAGAAAGCTCTGGAGTTTGGAGTCTGGAGTGGAGAGGACGACTGTTTGGGCGAACAATGGAGAGCGGAGGCAGATCCCCGCCCTATAAGCGATTCATGGGGCCCATGAATAGACGCACACAAGGCGAATGCCGTTTTGGGGAGGGTGTTTGTACTGTGGACGCCGGCGTTGGTGTCCTTTTTCGTACAAGAGCGCAGAAGGAAGCAACCTTCCCAATTTGGACGAGATTTCCGAATCGGGAAGAAGGACGTGATTGTCCCGACGGCGGGGATTTGGAGAACAAGAGCACTTTGTCTGGAGGCGAGAGGCGGTTGCCACGCTTGAGAACATCAGGGATAAGTTGCCGCCGCCGGATGACGGGAAAGTGCGATCTTCTTCATTGGAAGTCGTGTGTAAAGATTTTTCTTTTCGTGGGCGCGCGCCGGAAGATTTGTGGAAGAGGGAGGACTGTTTCAATCACATGGGATCAAGAGAGGAAGCGGAAGTCCCCGATATGAGGATGGATACTTATGGAGACACGACAGTGTTACTAGAGTCGCCTTCGCAACGCCGCCCAGCATCAGCGACCCATGAGCGCCAGGGGCGACGGCCTTGGAGTCACAGAGCCCAGTCCTTTCTACGAGTATCGGTAGACCATTTTTTGAGATTAGAAGCCGCCGCAGATGTTGTGCCACAGGTGCCTAGCTGCCCTGACTTGTGAAGCGGCCGCGTTCGCGGCGGCAAATGAGGGGCTTATAGATGGCGGACAGCGATGAGGAACCACGAAGGACTCCCGTGAAACAGCTGAGACCCCGACTCGACGAGACTAAGCTTAAGGAGACTGGGCCTACGGTTGGCAACAATGTGGAGAGCACGTGACTGGGGCAACTCGTGATTTCCAATTGAGGCGCGCTCGGAATTTGAAATTTTAGGTGGGGCCGATCGCGACTATCAAAGTAATGTTCGATTGACTACGTCATCAAAGACATTTCGGTTGTAAAACACAGGTGCCATTCCAACAGTTTTCGGAGGCTCAAGGAAAATTCCGAATCGACAGATGTTCCCAGATTTGCGGTTGATCTATGCTCCATTTTTCCCACTATTTTATACCCCACCCGCGGCCAGAACGGAAGCCATCAAGAATTCAAACGTTTGGCCCAAGTTGTACCAGTCTGCCTACGGCAAAGAGCTCGCCTTATTTTTTTGCCAATCGAAGGCAGACTGTGTTACGATTCCAAGGAACGGGGGTCTTCCTGCTTCCGCGCTGTCAATGTACGCATCCCTCGAATCCTTTATCGATTACACCGTCGCTCACCTGTTCTTCAGGACCAAACGTCAATCTTGCGTCATCACGCACGTACATGGACGGTGCTGATCAGGCTATCAGAACAGAGTCCTATGTTCCCATGGGTAGGTAGGTAGGTAGGTATTATTACACGGCAACCATCCCGCGCACGTATGTACAATTTAATCTACTTCGCTGCCTTCTTGTTCCTCGGAGCTGACTCAGCTCCTGCGTCGTCAGCTTCAAACTTGCCATGGTCCGGAGACTCTCCGGATGTTCCTCCCCCAGAAATTTCCGCTGTTTCTCTGCCACCTCCGTCGCAAGTATCACGGCGCTCTCCAAACGGCCGATTTGGTGGTATGTCGTGGCTAGCTCTGCCTGCGCCCGGAGTGTGGTTGGATGATTCGCGCCCAATGCTTCTGAGCCCACCATACATTTCACAACGTCGGCCCCTAGTTTCTCTGCCTTCGCCAACTTTCCCTGTTCTCTCAATGTCATGGAAAGGTGCAGCTTGATTTCGAGAATGTTGGGATGGCTTGGATCCAGTCTTCGTTCCAATTCCTCGCAGCTTGTGACTTGAAGGATTTGGGCCTGCTCGAGATATCCTTTCCGACAGTACGTCCTTGCCAGCTGACCCATTCCAACCAGTATATTCTGCTGGTTCGGATCCGTTGACAGCCGTAGACGGGCCAGACGCACCACTTGCAAGCGCTCCGCATCGAACCATTTACCCTGTTGCTGATACATCTCTGCCAAGGTATGCTCTGCGTAAATTGTATGCGCATGACCTTCGCCCAAAATATTTCTTCGCTTGACCATTGTGGCTCGGAGCATCTCTTCAGCCTGGTCTAATTTCCCCAGCTGTGAGTAGGTCTCCGCAAGATTCCCCATCGCCACCAAGACCATCGGATGGTCGTCATATGTTATATCCTTCCACTTGGTCAGGACCGTCGTTTGGAGAGATTCCGCGTGAGTAAAATTTCCTTCGTGCCAGTAAGTGGCCGCCAGATTGGACATGGCATTTAGGGTCTCTGGGTGCTCATCGCCCCAAAGCTTCTTGTACTTGTTCATGACCACCTCTTGAAGTTTTTCTCCCTCTTTGAACTGTCCTAGCTCCGAATATCTGGCCGCCAGATTCGCCATGGTGGGGAGAGTCTTGGGGTGGCCCTCGCCGTAAATATTCCTCTGCTTGTTTAGGATCATAACTCCAAGTTCTGCAGCTCTGCTCAGCTGTCCGAGCTCCGCGTATCTCACGGCCAGATTTGCCATCGTACGGAGAGTATCTGGGTGGTCCTCGCCCAGGATTTCCTTGCGCTTGTTCAAGATCACGATTTCCAGTTGTTCCGCCTCCTTAAACCTTCCTAGCTTCGAGTATGTTATGGCTAGATCTCCCATTGCATCGAGAGTAGATGAGTGATCCCTGCCCAATAAGTCTGTCCTCCTCTGGATAACAAACTCCTCGAGCCCACTCGCAAGATTCAAATCTCCTCTTTCCATGTAAAGGGCGGCCAAGGCACCTTGGATACCCAGGGTTCTGAGTTCTGTACCCTGCGATGTTGCAATTTCCAACATCGAACTTCCCAGTTCAACTCCGGTATCCCACTTTCCTTCCCTCAGGTATACATGCAAACACTGCCGAGCGAAGGTCATATCCAAGACAGTGGGTTTACGCCCAGAGTCTTCTGCCGTCCTGAACAGGAGCGCGTCAAGGTGGGGGAAAACCAGGTGGGAGAACCGGAAATTGTCCCCTGCAGACGAAAGAGACATGCCCAATAACTTGTGAATGCATATATTGGCGGCGGTATCCAATTTGACGGTTGTCCTGCACCACTCGTGTATCAGGGGGTGAATGGAGAAGGAAATAGTGCTCCACGCCGCTTGAAACTCAATCAATGAGTAGGCTCCGAGCTCGCGGGTGGTATCTATAAATTTGGTGGAATCCCATTGTGATCCCGAGGTTTCCAAAAAGCCAGCCAAAAAGTCCAGCGGCTCCCGCAGTTCGTCCTCTCTTGGGCCCTCGGGCGTCAGACTATAGGACGCAGCATATTGAAATATTTCTTCAATTATCCCGTCATGGTGAATAAAGGAGCAAAGTTGAAGCAGCTTTGCTGCCTGGGTAGACACCTTCTCGAAGCTGATTTGCCAGGTGGTATAGACCGAGGATTCATAGTCTGACTGCTGTGGTTTTTCATGGAGCAACTGGATTCGCTTCGCTGTGCTTTCGTAGAGGCTGAGATATTTTGGGAGAGCACGGGACGATGAAATATACGCTCCGGCCTGTGCCACAGCCAACGGGAGGCAGTGAAGTTTCTGACAAGGGTCAGTAAAGATTCTGTCGCATGGATCAGCACAGTACCTGGACGAGTCGCCTCCCAATTTCCCTATTCTCCGCTGCACCCAACCCATATCTCGCAACGGAAAGCAGAAGATCTGTGGCTTCCTCGACCTCCATGCATTCGACTTTGTGTTCGGCTTCTGCATGCTGGGAGAGTTCGGGATTGCGAGATGTAATGAGGATGTTTCCGTGAGTGCCGGAGGGAATATATCGCATCAGGTTGAGATGGATGTCGTCCGCATTGTTGAAAATAATCAGCCACTCATTACGCTGGTGGGCCAACCAACGAATCGTATCTTGGGCGCTTCTACCGATCTTCTTGGCGAGGGCAAGGCTGACTAGGTCGGTTTCTATAGTCTGTTCGGAACTACTATCCACAAAGTATGTCTCGGAAAAACTATTCCGCTGTAGTTGTTAGATTTTAGGACACAAGGAAACCTCGAGGACGCACCGTGGCTCCGGTATGGCCGAGCACTCCACGAATTTGAATGCTATTTGACTTTTTCCCGTCCCTCCGAGACCATGTAGAAGGAAGATATGACGCCGACGTCGTCC